GAAGAATTAAGAAATCAACTTTATGACACTAAAGATATATTATAGTATCGTAGCGCCCTGGCTTAAATACCACCAGGACCTTCCAAAGCTAGAAATCAACCAAGTCGTGGGAACGAAGATCAGATTAAAAGGACAGGTAAAAATGCAGATATGTCAACTATGATTTCATATTTCATTTATTTCTTTTGCATCAATGTCCGTTTGCTTCGCTTTCAACTGCGATTTAAACACATGCGGGATATGAAAGACTTAGAAGAGTCTTTTGTAGAGGATTCTACGCTTCCCATGTCCATTGTAAGATATTCGGACGATACAGACGAACAATTAGAGACCCTCAACTCCCTGATTCTAGAAAGACACGCCCCGTTAAAAAGGGTACGTGTTGCTAGGCCACCAACGCCTTGGATGAAATGTCCCAACATTAAAGACCTACAAAAGGAGAGAGACACTGCCAGATAGGAGGCCCACAACACCCCTTCTGATGCAAAGTGGGACTATTTTCGTTCAGTAAGGAACAAACTGAAAGCTGCAATCCGAACTGCCAATAAAGCTTCTATTGAGAAAGCGCTTTACTCAAACAAGTCAAGTGAATTATGGAAGGTAATCCACAGAATTCTTAAGCCTAGCCCAAAGCTTTTGCGCTTCGACCCTGACGAGGTGAATGGTCACTTCCCGTCTACAGCGCAATTTATAAGCAATATTTCTACAGGCAGGTCCAATTCAGCTAAGGAACAAAGAACTCTTAACATAAATGCGACCTCCTACGTTGAGCTGACTGAACTGATCGAAAGTCTCCCCGATTATTCGGATGACCATACTCGATTCTACATTTTTCCTGTTACTAGAGAAGAGATATTCAAAGCGATTAAAAGCTTAAGGTCCGATTGTTCCACCGGAGCTGATCAGATTCCAACTACATTCATGAAGCTAGTGGCTGACCACTCGGCGGGCCTCCTTACCAGGATCACTAATGGTTGTATAACTGAAGCATACTTCCCAAAGCTTTAAAAGATCGTCAGAGTGTCGCCCTTACCCAAGGTGGACAACCCAACGACCAATGACGGACTAGGACCAATCTCGATATTACCGGTGTTGTCTAAGGTGTTCGAAAGGTTGGTCGGCTGGTAGATGTCGGATTTCGCAAATAGCACCTCTCTTCTTCATGATAACATTTCCAGTTTCCGTAAAGGGCACTCTACCACTACTGACCTTCTTGGAATAATAGATGATGTAAAGCGCACTATGTAAAGGAAAGAGGTGACCTTGATGGTTCTCGCCGATTTTTCTACGGCTTTTGATACGGTTTGTTTTAAGACGACGATAAAGAAATTCTACAAACTCAGCTTCTCCAAAATCTATTTAGTCAGTTTGAATTGTATTTCGCTCTACACTCATGTGTATTGAGCACTTTCTAGCAGCATTTACGACAATTTCCCACAATCGAAATGGCTCCTTAGTTATTTATCTCGTCGAACACAACTCGTACAAATTGATGACACTAAATCACACCTCAAGTTGTCACAGCTTGGAATACCTCACGGAAGAATCCTTGGGCCGATGATCTTCAATTTCTATGTATCAAATCTCCGAGACAACCTGGATCTATCAACATCTTGTTCTCAATACCCTGACGACACATCTCGCTACACCCACTGTGTAGTAAGGGAATTGGAATCAACGACGTGCGACTTAAACGAATCCCTTACCAAACTTGGAGCATGGTCTAAGGATTCTAACCTTTCCTTGAACCCGAAAAAGACCAAATTCAAGGTTCCTCCACCCAGCAAATGTCATCTCACCACAAATTAACAGATCGCGCACTTAATCGCACTGTCGGAGACAACTTTCTTGAGCGAGTCGAATCTACAAAGTTGCTCGGGGTTAACATCCACAGTAACCTCAAATAGGACGACCATATCATTACAAGTATTCCTAATTTATAGCATTTTTAAAGTTTTTATTGTAATAACCCAATTTTATGTTTGTATAACAGATGTAGAGCCATTTTACCGATGGAAATACTCTTAATAAACTGTTATCCTCATCATCATCATCATTATTATTATTATTATTATTATTATTATCATTTATAGCTAGACATAATCAGAAGGTAATCCAGTAAGCCCTTAACGTGGGGGCTTAAACTTGCGAAAGTCGCCTGCAGCCTCATTTCTTTCAACAATGCTTAAAAGTAAAAATAGGACCGAGGAAACTTGCTGGGTTCCCCCTCCCGTGGGGGGGGCCTCTTACCTCCTTAAAAAAACACTGATATGAATGTTACTCACAACTCTCATTTTCAAGTACAGTTGCCATTGGGTTTTGATACTTTTTACGCTTAGAATAGACTTGCTATAACTTAAATCGGAGCGGTTAGCATGGTTAAACAAAATAAACGTAGTCGTTCGTGGTTAATTTTGAAGATCATCTCTGGGTGACGGTGAACAGAGCCCTTGGATCTGGATATGCGACCCTGGGCATGCGCACCAGGGTGGCATTTTGGTCTTTGTCACAGCCGAGGTACAGATTGTTGTTCCCCAGTGCCACGCTCTTAAAAAGTGTGTAGCTCCAGTAGTACTCCACTTTAAATATTGAATGATCTGTTGGAGTTGGAGTCTCCTGAAAACAACCATTCATTAGAATATTACATTATTTTCACTAGTAGGAAACAGCAACTGACCATTGAAGGATATGATAGAACAAAGACATTAGTAAATTAAACTCTTGGTCAGAACTCTTAGCCCTCTGAATTGCTCGTAATGAGATCTGAAAGAAACTGGCTGTAATTAATTTTTTAATTGAACAGTATTAGGTAAATATTAATGCCATATCTCTGATGATGCTTTTTCAATATCATTTGCTTACTGGGAACTCATCACGTGGGTTACGAGGATTTGTGCGAGATTCTCCCACCGAAAAAATCCATCACCGTTTCGGAGATGGCGCTTCTAAGGCTCAGAGGATCTTTAGTATCTGGAACTGCAGTCATCAGTCAAGCCACAACGTTAATCATGATCTAACATAAGAAACGATGGCTATTATTTAAAGCTTTTTTCGAATTCTACATGGATGATCAGATTTCGTATTTGTTTATTCATTTATTTATCAAAATTTCGTTTGAGGAGGAAAGTTACTTACCACTGCAACGATGGGCTCTCCTTCACCCTGTGATGTAATGTACATTTTCGAGTGACCATCAGTGAAATACAAATAGAATAAGTCATGACCAAAGTCTTCGGCTTGTACAACCGCTGGAAAAGAAACGTGACATACTATTAGTGGTTATTTCTTTCGGTCGACAGAGTCTTTGGCAACAGGTTCAAGAAAAAAATTGCCCACTAAAATTGTTTTCTTGAATTATTTATTCCTTCCTATTAACCATCCTTTTGATTTCTTCTTTTTTTTCTATTCTTTTTTTGCCTGTTTGTCAGTCTTTTTCTTGTTTTTACTTCCCTACTAGTCTATTTGTTGTTTTAATGTTCCATTTCTAGATTTTTCAGTTTTCATTGCTGCGCACTCCCGTTCGCTTTTTCACCTCCTGAAAAATCAGCTTAATCAATCCACTCTTTAGTGTATGTCAGTTAAGGCCAAAGAAAAATAGTCATATACACTCGCTATTTACAACACTCGGCCCCAGTCATTCAAAGGGTGGATAACTCCCACCATTGGGTAAATCTCTATCCGGTGAATAGCACAGTGGGTTTTTGATCAATCTTATCCACTGCACGGCGACTTATCTGTTCGATGGCGTTATCCGACCTTCTAAGAACCTGCACTGGACTCAGGACTACTACCCCTAATGGTAAAAAAAATTGTATGTACTCACTGTGTGGGCTGTTACCAATGGTACCCTTTCCTGTTACAATGGGTATTGGAGTCGATGGATCCATTTGAATTAAACCGTTACAGACTGGGTTCCAAAATTGGTAATGTACGTGCGGCTGGATGGGATGAGGCTTAAATTCAAGGGGTAAGTGTGTTGATACGGGATACCAAGTCATATGATAAACATCTGCACACCGAGACTCAACCTGGAGATGTCAAAGAGTTGTTATCATTAATACCAAAACCTAGAAAGATTGAACAGCAGTCTATTAGCTCCTCTGAGATTTTTTATGCAAATCCTGCGTTGGTAGCGATTAGTTATTTTGTTTCTTTGTTTGTTATTTTTCATCAGGAGACACGTTCCAAAGTTGTACATTTAACGAAACAATAATTATTGATGGCTGGCGTTAGTTGTTTCCTATGTGATTTCCAATTATTTTCTTGATTATGTCAGCTATTTTCCTCCTTATATGTATACTTATTGACTTCATGGGGTAGCCAAACGGGAAAATATCTGGCTCGAGGTCGTAAAGAACCAAATACGCTCTCAAATTCATGTCTTTGTTCATCATTTCTTCCCTTTTGCATAATGCATTCATTGCCGTACGTGTGCACTTTTTACGGCCACCTCGTACGGCTTTCGTATGCAACTGTTTACGCGAGTAGATGCTTCGGTGAATGAATCAAGTTAAAGAAACGTCAATTTCCGGCTAAGTTGAGATCTTCTGACATATTGTTGCTTCACAAGAACATCTCATAAGGTTCCTGCAAACGAACAGTATTTTATCTATGGATGACACTTTCCCACGAGTATTACTTTCTGGCAGTAGCCCATAAGCTCTTGTTTCTGGCTATTCGGCCAAGCTGAGCTAAATTAAGGGCATTATTTTGAAAACTATAAGCTTACAGCTCAGATATTTTCCTCCCATCATTTGAGATGACTATGGCTTTCAGCTTGTCATTTTCTTTCAGCCCTGTGTCGTTTTTGACTTCTACATATTCATTGAAGTTGCCATCAAATTTCTGAAATTTAACATCCCCTGGGGCAACATCTTCTGATAGAATATCAGAGAAAGTCCGCAGGAAATGATGACGGAACGTTTTCAAATCGTCACCCTTCTCATAGCGTATAGTGCGCTTGGATTCCCCAAACGTCACAAGAGCTTCAAGTTTACTCTGTTCTCCACTGCTCATTTTCCTGTAAAGCAAATTCATTGTTTGTCAATGAATAGTTTGGGAAGATAATAAGTATACTAAATATAGACTAGTTCCCGAAAACTAAGCCTTAGTGACGCAGTGGCGAAGGGGCTTTTGCGTACCCTAATACCATACAGATGGCCAGAATTTCTCTTAATGAAGAGAGGCGACGAGAAAAGGAGAAAAAAAGAATATGAAAAACAGGGATATAACTACAGATACGCGCGAACCGTTACACGAGCATGGTCACGCAATCTCCGACCCATGGACCGTTCACCATCCGCCGCCGCATTTTTGAACCAAAACAACGAAAGGTCAGCCAAAATTAGGGAAAAAATTTTCAAATGGAGCTGATCTTGCTAGGTAATAGCTAATCGCAACTTCTTTTGCGTGCCTATCGAGCTATGCATTTAATTATACACTGTAGCTGCCCCATTTTTATGGAACTCCCTTCCGGAAAGCCTAAGGGCTGTAAGTAGTGTAAATATTTTTAAGAAACAACTGAAAACGTATATTTTTAAACAAGCATACTATTAATTTCGTGAACATTTTTAGACTATGTACTTCATAGATTTTTTATCGCTTTTTAATTTGTTGTTAAAATATAATTTTGCTTTCGTTTCGTAATTTAACTATCATATCCCCTGCGGTTTCTTTTAGATATTTTTTTAACTTATTGTAAAGCGCATTAGATCATATCCTTATGATAAATTTTGCACTATATAAGTATTAAATTTATTAAGGAGTTATAACAGTGCAACCATTAGAGAACAAAAGTAACAAAGATAGTTTGGATATATTTTACTCGACTTGGCAAGTTGTACGAAAGTTTCTTTAATCTCGATACTCCCTGTTGTGAAACCATTCCCAGCTCAAGTTTTTGGACATAGGAACTATGGGCGAGGACTATGTCATTCTATGGGTTTCGACCTTGAATTGAACCTGTCTAACAGGAAGCCTAATTTTGTTAATGGTCTCTTGAAGAACAAAGTAAAACATGTCTTAAAATCGTTAGAAAAATTATTAATAATAATAATTAATAATATTAATATTAATATTATTAATAATAATAATAATTCTTAAAATCATTAGGAAATCATTAGAGACATAGGAAATCTTCGAGGTATTCAGCATTTCTCCGCTGAAAATTAACTTGACAACGAACAATCCTTCTTCTAAGGCTTCTACCCCCCACGCGAGTCAAAAGAAATATGTAACGAGAACGGCTTTGTTTTGTTTGACAATACGGTCTTTAGTTTCTTAATCCATCTTGGATAAAAATATGATGTTTTATGATCAGAATGATTTCAAACCTTTAACAATTATAACGAGATGATGTTTATTTTCCGCTAGAAAGATTATCTATAGCCACACAATTTACCTCTTTAGAGCCGGAGTGCCATCATGGTGACGCAATGACTTGTTTCCGTAAAGAGTTCCTAGCGCCCTGGCACTCTGGAACACCCAAGACTTCCGTATGATAACCGCCATACTACTGTGAAAGTTTCAGACGAACTGTTGATCACATATAATGATACCAGATAAGCAGATTTGTTACAATGATCAGACGGTCTAATTCGCCTATAGGGCACTCCATGTATTTCTACAACAGACCTTTAATCACGTGCAACAAATAGTTTACAACGACTTGCAACAACTGTGTTGCGTTATCTATGAAGTGTTGTATATACCCAGTTATGTGAGAGAAAAAATAATAACGAAACTTTTGGAGGGTGATCAATGTTTATTTCCATCAGTGCACGAAAGTTTTGAAATTCAGAAAAGCAAATTTTGCAAAACACATTTTGCCGTCCCAATTTTCCCGCTGGTTTTTTCCGGCTAGGATTTTTCCCAGAAACTAGTCAGGAATTCATCCCGCTTTTCGGCTACAACAGCCNTTAAAAAATAATGTGGTGAGGCGTGAGTAGTCCAGTGGTCAGTGCGCTGGACTCTAGGTCAGATGGCCCGGGTTCAAGTCCTGGCTGGGGCTTGACGTTGTGTCCTTAAGCAAGACGCTTCACTCACATTGCTTCGTCTTCTCGGATAGGACGTAAAGCCGGAGGTCCCGTCTCCTGCACCTATCAATTAGTTAATTTCGGCAAGGGACGTTAAAGAACCCACATCACGAGATTACTGTGATGTGGTCTGGCCTGTTTACTGGGAAGGGGGGGAGGGGGCATCTGTAAAAAATTTCTCCTTTATTAATTGTAAACTGCCGCCGGCAGTCTGGAAAAGTCCCCCGCACAGTGTTGTAAAGCGCATTAGAGCATTTACATGGAAATGCGCTATAGAAATTGATCTATATTATATATTATATTACGGACCTCGCTACGCTCGGTCCGTACTGTCAAGACCTCGGGCCGATATTCTCTCAGTACGGCCCTCGCGCTTGGTTAATAAGATATATGAATCACACATTAAGGTCACAGGAATAATGAAAATGATCAACAACTACAGAAAGTCTTGATTGATAAGCAAATTCTCCGTGTCAGCATCTTAGGAAATGTTAAGAGAACAGCATGGAGAATATGTATGTTGATGTTAGGGAGTAAAGCGTTAAACAGGCTTGTGTATGTGTGTATTTCCGCATGGTCATACCTTTTAAAAACCTCTCGCTCCTTTTTCACTTGCGTTTAAATCAAGTGAATCAGATATTTTCGTATCATTTTTTACGACTAATTTGCCCAAGAGATATTCTAGAAGTCATTGAATGTTTGCAAAACTTACTTGAGACTCTTGAACTCCAGATTTCCAAACACTCTCGACGACTGCTTTTAGTCAAAATAACAAAATGTTGATCACTTACATTAAATACTTTTCATTAGTGATTGATGGTCACGCTTCATGCACCGCAATTCGCACGAATGTCAACACAGACAGGCCTAATTTTAGCCGGACGTCGACTCTAGCTGAGCTTTGAGGCTACGTTCTCAGAATGGCAGGCAAGGCGGAACTTGTTCAGCATTTCTGAAACCCACCTTACAAAACACATGTATGAGTAACTCATCTCCAATAACTAAAATACTTTTAGTGAAGATGTATTGCGCTTCATGCACTGAGATTTGCACGAACATCAATACAGACAGACCCAATATTATACGTCCACTCTCGCTGAGCTTTCAGGTTAAGTTATCAGGATGGCAAGCAGGCGGAACTTGTTCAGCCTTGCTGAAGCCCACTTTGCAATACACTTGTATAAGTTAATGACCTTCCGATAACTAAAATTCCAATAACCTTCAATATTGATAACTAATATTCTTTTATTGACCGATGTATCACGCTTCATGCACCGCAATTCGCACGAACATCAACATATACAGGCCCAATACTGTACGTCCACTCTCGCTGAGCTTTTACGTTACGTTATCAGAATGACAAGCAAGCGAACTGCCTCTCGGTTAGCTCAATTGGTTAGAGCGCCGGCTTGTGTTGTGCGGGAGGTCGAGGGTTCGAGCCCCGGCCGGACCAATACTCATGGTCTTAAAATAAGTGATGAGAATTTGCTACCTTTCTATWATATTAAGAAATGGATAGATATTCTAGTCTTCTCGGATAAAGACGAATAAACCGTAGGCGCCGTCTCCTGCAGGGTTAGGGGTAGGAGACGTTAATTTCCCACGCACGAGATTACTGTGTTGTGGATGTCCTCCCCTGGGGTGGGATGTGTGGGGGGAAAAAGGTGAGGTGGTTACATGGACTGAAGCGGCTGCCAGAGGCGCCTGATAATGCTGACGTCCAATCTCAACCTTATCATTGTAACTAGACACGTTTGTTGTTTAGAGTGCTTAAGACTTTCTTTCTTTTCTTTCTTTCTTTCCAGTATCGCTGAGACCCACTTTGCAAAACACGTGTATAAGTTACTTCGCGGGGATTAATCGACATTGTTCTATATATTACGAAGGGAGCTCATTTATACGCAAGCGAAATCTTTTGAATAATACACATACAAATTTATCACGCTTTTCAGGGTCGAAAGTTCACGAACTTCTGATTAGACTATAGTTAATTTGTTCTGCGGTGATATGTTTTTGTCGGAAACATGATGAAAGGAAACCGCACTTATCTACAGTGCTATAATGAGGTTGTCTTGGTTCATGAGCAAGCCACAGTGTTCCGATTCATTTTTTGTTCCCTTGCCAGGGTAGCAGCTCGTTTATTTTAATTACAATTAAAACTAACCATTACAGCACTGCGAGGAAATTTAACGATGCAACGAGTAAGCTGTAGCGGGGCTAACGATTAACGCCACCGAAAATCTAGCGAAACAAACACATTTCCGTGGATACACTCACTTAGTCCTCAGACCTGTGGTCACAAAGGAGGACCGGAAGCTTTCCAGCTTCAATAACAAGGTGGGCGGGTTCCTTCTTTTGTTTTCAGAGTCAGCTTATTTTCCTGTTTCCTTGCGTCATCATTCCAAGTAAAATAAGCATAACATGTTTGTCGTGGTCGGAAGGTTCATGTTTCCTTTTTAGCACATGTTTTAACCACCAGTTTCCTTGCGTCATCATTCCATGTTAAATATGCATGACATGATTGTCGAGGTCCGTCGGAAGTTATCTTTTTCCTGCATTCATTTTAAAACCCTCTCCTTAAGCGTAGAAGCAATAAGTTTACGGTTAAAATCTCAGGAAATTGGAAAAAGCTCGAATTAAGTCGTATAAGCAGCTGACACAGGAAGTAGGTTTGTGCAGGCTGTCTATTGTTAGTAATTGCGTCAATTAGACAAAAATGTATTGAATAATTCTATCAAAAAAAATGTCCATTGTTTCTTCATATGCAATGCACAATATCTTTATTTTAATTCATAATAAATGGTGGGAATCTATTATTATTAAATTTGTAGCATGGCAGTACCAAAATCTAATTTTACACGCCACCGGAAGTCTCAACCTTTTTTAAGATGTATTGTTAAAATCTACATAACTGACTCTGTATAAGTATTAAATATCCAAATCGCTGTATCGACAGTTTACAGTTATTTTGATATGCTCGAAGCAAATATAACGGTGGTCATTGTTCCCAAGAAGTGAAGAGGCAAGACAAGGTATTCCACGCAAAACACGTCTATTTACATTCCCAACAACTTTAACGAATAGAAAGGAGACGGTATATATAGAAGTACCAAAGTGACCTCTGTTTTTAGTCCACTTGGTAATTGGAAGAAATAGATAATGGTGACATTCACGAACTAGCTGTTTCAATAGTGAAAATAACCCTAAACAATTTGACGGCGAACCCTTGACAGGCATGATCAATGGGAATATTTATAGGAAATTTTGCACCTGAAAATTTGTGTTGACATCTAGAATAATAATTCTGCTCTTAGAAAAGCTTAGAACATTCCCTGCCTAACTAAACCACAAAACATTTTCTCAATACGAACTTACAAAGAGTAAACCCAAAACCGTATGTGTTATCGCGACCGTGTGGCCAACTGCGGCTGGCTTATTATCTCTCAATAGCTGTTTCTCTTCTATAAAAGTGATGTTTTTGCCATTTTTGTTTCCTGATTGCTACTTCCTCCGAAACCACGATTAAAGAAGCTCTCTGAGTTACGAGCGTGATACCACAGGCAATGCTGTGCATGCGTTTATAAATGCTTTCTTGGAGAATGATTCTAGTAGAGCATCGCATCTCTAACTTGAAAAAAGACTTCTTATGCTCTTCATGAGGAAATCAAACGGAGCTGAATTCGAAACCGAACCGATTTACGTGGCACCTTAACAAGTCGTGTTTGGGCTATTTACAAACTAACAAGGCTAGGATAAAGTAATGCTATTTTTTTGTTTGTGTTTTTGCAGTTCATCTGTTTGTTGGATTGTTTTTGCCGGATCAGTTTTTATTGTTTTTTGTTTCCCTGAACAGGAAAAAATTGAAAAAAATTAAGTCTAACACGAGGGAGCATTTGCAAACCAATATCGTGAATCTCTTCAGTTTGCATTAATAAATTCCATTTCCTTAATTAGGACTTAATGCTCTCGAAGAAATTGTCAAATTCCCTTAGGATAAATGCATTTCGACATGTGTTTTTCATTTTCATTTTAATCTAATGTTGATTTAATCATTTTTAATTTGACTTTGTTCGGTATTAATTTTAATTACATTTGGTTTCAATTCCAGGCAAGAAAAATGAATCCAGGCGGCATAACTCATCTCTTGCTTATGGGATTTGGTTCAATGCTTCTTTGTTTAAATTCTACTCAAGCAAGTTGTGTTTCTATGAATATGCAGTGTAAGTGACTGATTATTTTACCAAGATCATAATTTTCGGAAAAATGTTTGATGTACCTGTATTGATTAACGACTTTCGATTATTTCTTGTGGCAGCTTCTTATTCTCCATCACTAACTATCAAAACCTCCGAACTACCAGATGAAGGGGTATTACCGACAGGCTACGATCACACAATTATTTGCATCAGTAATATTTCGAAAGAATATTATGGAAACCCATACTATGGTCAACCATATTGGATACAGATTTTCTTCAATGATGCCTACGTAAGAAGTTGTGGTGGTCGAAGCAGAGACAGCGAGGACTCAAAAATATGTACGTACCCTATTGTGAATTCCACAAAGGGTAATTCAGGAAACTAAACCTGTGTGACACGCAACCAGCTTTCGTGTACTATTGGGACATTATCCCTCAAGTTCGAAGGTAAGTTTGCCATTATTTGTCGATTTCTCCCTTTTAGCCCTCGATGTACCTTGGTTGTACACAAGAGGCGCAAAAAGTTGTTGCAGATGGTTAAGTTCAATTTCAACAGAGTGAAATGATGTTGCAATAAAGACTTACAAAGCTTTCCATTTTCATTGCTTAGAACCGACACCTTTAACCCTCACTTCAAACTCACCTCAGGATGTCAACGTTTCCTTTGGAAGTACAGCCAACCTTACATGCGAGGCAAGAGGATTTCCTAAACCTGCCATCACTTGGTATAAAGATGGTAGGCCCATCATCGGTGGGAACATCCGGAACTTACAGGGAATTTCACAGCTAACCTTGGAATCTGTTACAACACATGACAGAGGTGTCTACTGGTGTGAGGCAAAAAACTCAGAAGGATGGAAAAGATCCCTAAATACGACTATTAAGGGTTATTCATTTTTGTTTCATACACCCTTTTAATCATGCATGTCTATTTTACTGCCAATTTTACTATCCTATTTCATTCGTTACTTTTGTAAAAAAGTCCTCAGTGCGTAGGCTTTGGTCGATCAGTTTTCATTCATATTTATTAAACTGAAATATTTTATTGAGGAAGAGCGGTCAGCTGTTCCTTGCATGCTTCATATACATTTCCTATCGCCTGTTGTGCGAAAAAAAAGGTTTCTTCGTATCTTCATTGTAACTGGATCAATATCAACATTCCTTATACTGCAGTTTTCTCAATGCCAAACATTTTGGTTCATCCAAACAATGTATCCATATACCTGGAGGAAACAACTGTGAAGGCGATCTTCTTCTGCAAGGCTAGTGGCATCCCTCTTCCTTCTATAAGTTGGCTAAAGAACAACTCTACCTTGATTGGTGGCATGGTGACCCAGAATGGCAGCAGCTCATCTCTTCTGATTCAAAGAGTGGCAAAAGAAGAAAAATTCGCAAGATTTAAATGCATAGCCAAAAATCCATTCGGAGAAGTGTCATCCCAAGAGGGAGTGCTGGTAGTCCGAGAACAGGCTCAAGATTCAGGTGCCTACTTGGTTCATATCTTATCCGGTTATGTTTTTAAAAGGACATTAAACGACCAATATCCTGTCTTAAAGAATGTGCGGGAATAATTTCGCTGTTAACATTGTGCGTTATCCAACTGTGATTTCGTCTTGTTTCTTTTCTGCGGTTGTATCAATTCAAATATAGGCTTAGGCCACTATTTTTCATACTAGGCATTGGACAGCGCCCTTTTTACCTTCAACCTAAAAGCGTCAAGGCTATTGCAGGAGACAGCGTTGTGTTCGTGTGTGCCATGGAGGGTAGTCCTGTCCCAAACATTATGTGGTTGAAAGATGGTACTACAAATGTGGACGGTAGCATTGATTACTACCCGGGAGAGCAAAGTGCCACATCTGTGCTTAGGATCTACCCCGTGAGTGAAAGACACGTTGGTCGTTATTCATGCGAAGCGGTGACTACAATCTCGTGGGAAGCGGTGCTCACCATAACAGGCAAGGATAAAAGAGGCTTAATTGTTGTAACTTTTTGTTAAGGCCATCATAAACTAGATAATCCAGAATAATAATATCGCACTCTTAACTCAGTTTTATTCATTTTAGGGAAAGAATCCTCTCGTTCTTCGTTGTGTATATCCAATGCTGTGTGGATCCCTGTTGTTACAGGAGCAGTTCTACTACTTTTTATGGTCATTTCAATATTTTTTATTCACCACAGAAATAAAAATGCCAAATTCAGCATCGAGAAAAAGGTAAGATTGTCCAAATTTACTTTCCGCCATCCCTTTACTTTCCGCCTTTCCCTTTTAGCGGGGTGGTTCTATTACCAGCGCACTGCCCTTCAGAGAGTCTTGACGGTGATATCTGTTTATATTGGTCTTCCAGATGAGGGAAAACAACCAATTTTCACATCTTCACACTGGAGACGATATGATAAGTCAGCAAAGAGGAGACATTACAGCCCCACGATATCAGATGACGAACTTGGCATTTACAACTTCTACGAAATTTTAAACTTTGCACCCTCAGATACAGTAAACACTCGAAAATAAGAACCTAGTGGATTAAGAAACCTCTTGGCAGAAATTTGCCATTTTAATACCCCTTTAAATAAGAACCTGTTTAGCCAAACATGATCAAGCAGGTTCTTATAATATTGGTTACAGCTAAATTACAGGATAAACAAACCACAAGTTACTGACACAATTTATTGGTGTGTGCGAAAGAAATAGAAGATAATTTACACAAAATGCCCAATATAATACAGTAGTGCAAACACTATATATGCTCTATATCTAGTTCTATAGAAATAGCACCATTTAGTGTTATCTACTTGTTACAGTAGTTGAAAGCTACAGTTATACAGTATTATATATAATTTTAGCCCGTATAAAGCTTATTTGTTATTTTTATGATATATATGCAAAACAATGACAACTGTATCCCCCTCTTAGCAATTAACAACCTAATTAAGAACCTGTTTTGCCAAAATTACCAACAACTACCCCTTTAAACAAGAAGCTTTTTTGCCAGACTGCCAAAAAATAAGGTTCTTATTTCCGGGTGTTTACTGTAGTTGGTACAAAAGTGGAATTGACGTACCTCGATTCGTCTCCACTATGCCTTGATATTATCAAATTTGTTTAGTAGATACATCTCTCGGACAATCCTTATCACTAGTAGAAAGCATTGAAGCAGTTCAGAATCATCGAAAAGTGGAATGTCCTTCGAAAAAGGTAGATTAGTGAGATATCATTTATCATAAGAAAATTTACCGTCACGACACAGAGGCCAAGGAAAACGTCGCTTGGAAAATGATTTTGTCTAAGGTATTAAACGAGATGCTCGTCTTTAAAGACGACAAATCTTTCATTCAGCACTAACATGGGGATGTAGCGTAGATTTTCAAGGAGACGTCAGTAATTTGTTGCGGGCATTTCTTTTTTAGACTGCTCAAACCACAGGCGATTCTAGGTTTTCTATTTCGCAATGATAGGGCTGAAACTGTTTAAACTGCACGTACTGAGCTACTCTTCAGTTCATCAAGTCTTTTGTTTCGCTTCCTTCTCCTCAGTTGAAGTCTCTGTTGTAGTTTTCTTCATGTCCCCAATTTTTCTTCTTGCACAAACATTTATACATACACATTATTGAAACCGAGCAAATGGCTTCGCCATCCTATTAGTTGTTCGCCCTATAATATTACAGCTTTTTTATGGCTCGTTCGTTTAGTTATATTTTTTTTCCTTTTATCCATGTTCTTTCCGCGTGTTTTGCTTGTTATTCCTCAATTCTAGTTAGATTCTTCAATTTCCATACCTGTAAGCTTATGGTAAATAAAATCGCTTAAAGAAGAGAGCTATACAGTCTGTGATTAACCTAACATTTCAATGCATGTTATTTTTAGGTTCAATTTCCTTATAAATTCAGTGAGTTTTTTTCTTGGCTTTCACACTAAAGACATTTTCTCTTTCTGTGAGTTTTAAAAGTTTGTGATATACTAATCAATGCACAGGAGACTACAAGAGACGAAAAGTCTGGCTGCAATGGTGAAACAAAAACATTACGATATTAATGGGAAGCCCGTGTTGAACTTCCGCTATCTTAAATCATGCAACTTTGCGATCCATTTTTAGAGTAATGGACTTATCTTAACGGGTGACTCAGCCCAACTGGCTCATGCAATGGAATGGTCAATTGAAAACAGGAATTAAAAGGCTTCAGTGGTACGATTGTCATTAAGACCATTTATGTCCGTCTTAATTACGAGCAAGGCTATTAAGACTTGAAATGTGATGAAGAAAAACATATCACGTTCTTAGAATTGTCAAGGTTTCTTCAAGGGATAAAGACGAAAAGGCTGGCACTGGTTACAACGAGCTTCCGCTTTAACCTTCAGCTTTGAAAGTTTCAATAATTAGTTAATTTAAGGAGCTCAAGCTGCGGCGCTGTTTCCTTTGAAAAATTCCACTTTTACGCCTACTAATGTACAATTAAAACTCCTTGATGGGACTATGACTAACTGGTTTCAAATTAAATTTTGAGAGCGTCAAACAGGCTGTTCTGCTGAAAGATAAATAGCAATTAGTAAGACTGATATCAAGAGTACAAATACAGATTGATTTGCATGTGAAATTTCCGTGATAGTCTTTCGTCAATGGAGACTTCAAAGTGATATGTAATTTCTCGCGAATTCACCATTTTAAGGTAATATTTTGTATTCGTGTATGATCCCCTATTTGTTTTGTTTTTCTTAAATCTCAAAAAGGGGCCCAATAAACTAAATTTGTTGGATCCTAGAATCTGTTTAACGTGAAATTCAACCGATCTTAAGGATAACAGACCCTCAGTTGAATCACTGTGCAGGAGTCTTATCAGTCAAAATGGAGATCCCTTCCAACCTTTAAAAATGCATGTTTTCTGAAAGTGTATATCCACTTCCTATAAAGATGTGATAGGTAAATATAGAGAAATCTTTTATTTGCTACTAGGGAATCATACACCTCAAATAACAAGTTTAAATAGTCTTGACAGGTGTTTCCACGATTTCGTGCCATGAATACAATTAAAAATGTTCAGAATTTATTTACCTCGGGGCTTTTCTTAAGAGGTACTAGACTGACGTTTGACAGCTCATATCCTATCCACTACTTTTTGCCTCATTAATGAATCTGAAATATGATAAAACTTTCTCACTATATGCGTGACGTATATCTGGGTTGTAAAGAAGGAAGATAATTGAAACTAAACTTAGTGGTACCCAAACTTGTTCACTACTTTTAACTTGCTATCGACCACTATCGGTAGGACTTCCTTGCCTATTTCTTTGAACAACTTGATACCGGAATGAATTGTTTCTCACATCAGTCTATAGTTTGTAGTTATCAGGATTTGAGCAAAATCAGCTGTAAAATGCCAATGCTTATCTGTGTAGTTCTATTATTTCTTGAACAACAAATTGAGGCTATGGGAGGCAGATGTTCGTCAGCTGAAGATGCGACTAAACGTAAGTTCCTACAGTTTAAATAACCCGTAAATTTCTTTAAGAATCCTAACCTAAAATTCAAATGTCTTTTATTTCTCTCAGTTTTGGTCTAGTGCACCTATTGCTTATTATGATACACCTGCAGGCAACTTGGAAAACATGATTAATCAGAAATAATGTGAATGTTGCATGCATGTTTAGTTCAGTACTTTGCCTGTCTAAAACGGCAGTAGAAAGAAATCAAACAAATCCTGTTTCAAGCCATTCCTGCCTCAACGGCTGGACATAGCCAAGGACTAGAAGAGCAAACTTTGTCTTTAACCAGATTTATATTTCGTTTACTATCTATCGGGCCAAAAAAATTTGTAGAGGGCCATTTTCACAGTTGCAGACCGTTATTTCCAACCGTGCCAACTGTGGAAATGAACAATTTGGAATCAGTCCCGAATGAGCACGTTCTTCCAACTGGCTACAATATAACAGTCGTTTGTACAAGCAATAAACCAGCTCATTGGAATGGGAAATACTTCAAACCCTACTGGATGCAGTATTTTTTCAACAATGCCTTCAAGAGAGACTTGAGTGTGGTGGTGGCAATCTGGATTCACATTACGAGAATTCAAAAGTGTGCAATTACTTTATTCAAAATGCTACCGAGAAGAACACTGGGAATTATACCTGCATCGCAATCAATCAGTTTGGCTGCACAATAGAAACAATGGCGTTGAAGTTTAAAAGTAATCTTTTCTATTATCACTCTATAGTTATACAGTAAAACTAACGAAGTAGCTCACCTTTGGTTTGGTATCTAAATTATACTTCGTTTGAGGTAATACTTACATTGAAGAAATTTCATGGGTCACATTTATGTATGTTATGAATTACTAAGTCACTGAAAAAAACTGTGTGGTTACAAAACCACGAAGATGCATCAGTTTAATTGAATTAACGGGTAAATTGAAATAACAGATAGCAATGTCATATCGCAATGGTCACGAGAAGAGGTGTGTAATTATTCGTCTGTTTTCTTTAATTTTAAATTATTGATATTAATTTTCTTTCTTCAATCACACAGCCATCGCCCTCGCTTTTAAGTTATCACCAGACAGACTCGTAAAGACAACTTTCTAAAATCGAGTAAAGCCAGTCTCAGCTGAAATGCATCAGGCGTTCTCCACCCCTTTAGCTCAGATTCAAAAAGAGGATATATCGGATTATGGCGGACAGAAAAATGGAGAGATCAAACTTCCTCTGTTTTAGATAATTAATAATGCCAAAATCAATGCGATTGAAAGCCTAGAGTTTGGACTTTATCTATTAGTAAGAGACATCTTGGACATCCCTGTTTCCGTTTTTTTAATACAAACGTTACTTCAGTATCTTTTAAAGAAAAGTCAGTCGTGATTTACCTCAGTTGGGCACAAGAGGCGCAAAGGCTTGTGGTAGATGGTTTAGTTAAATTTCAACAAAGTGAAATTATGTTGTAAGAAACACTTACGCAGCGAGTTGCTTTCCCTTTTCTTAGAACCGACACCCCCAACCCTCACTTCAAACCCATCTCAGGATATCAACGTTTGGTATGGAAGTACAGTCAACCTTACATGCGAGGCACGAGGATTTCCTAAACCTGCCATCACTTGGTGTAAAGATGGTAGGCCCCTCTTTGGTGGGAACATCCGGGACGTAAAGGGAGCTTCACAGGAAACCTTGGAATCTGTTACAATAAATGACAGAGGTGTCTACAGGTGTGAGGCAAAAAACTCAGAAGGAAAAAAAAGATCCCTCAATACGACTATTAAGGGTTAGTCAGTTTTGGTTCATACACCTTTTAATCATGCATCTCTATTTCCTTGCTTTTCTTACTATCCTTTTTCATTCGTTTCTATTATAAAAAAATCCTTGTTGGTTAGGCCTTAATGGATCAGTTTTCTTTCATATTTATTAAATTGAAATTATTTCCTGACAAAGAGCGGTCAGATGTTGGTTGCATGCTTCATATACATTTCTTATCGCTTGCTGTGTGAAAAAGAGGTTCTCCTTACCTTTACTGTAACAGGATCAATATGAACGTTCCTTATACTGCAGTTTTCTCGATGCCAACCATGATGATTCATCCAAGCAATGTATCCATATACCTGGAGGAAACAACGTAAAGACGATCTTCTTCTGCATGGCTAGTGGCATCCCACGTCCTTCTATAAGCTGGCTAAAGAACAACTCTACCTTGATTGGTGGCACGGCGGTTCAGAATGACAGCAGCTCAACTCTTTTGATTCAAAGAGTGACAAAAGAAGAAAACTTTGCAAGATTTAAATGTGTTGCCAACAATCCTTGCGGAGAAGTGTCATCACAAGAGGGAGTGCTGGTAGTCACAGAACAGACTCAAGATTCAGGTGCCCGGCTTGGTCTGTATTTTATCCGGTTATGTTTTTAAGAAGGGCTTTTAACGACCAATTATCACTGAGAATGTGCCGGAATAATTTCGCTGTTATCATTGCGGGTTATTCATTTGTAATTTCACCCTGTTTCTTTGCTACGATTGCATCAACCCTTTTACAGGCTTAGGGCCTTTTTTCTTCATATTAGGTATTACAGAGAAAGTATCGCACTGTTAAATCTGCTTTATTCAGTTTAAATAGTCTTGTCGCTCCTCATTGTGTATCTCCAAAGCTGTGTGGGTCCCAGCTGCCACGGGAGCAGTTCTACTACTTCTATTCATATCAATATTTTTTCTCCACGTCAGGAACAAAAATTCCAAATTCAACATCGAGAAAAAGGTAAGATGGTCCAAATTTACTCCTCCGTTCCTGTGAAAAATTGTCCACAGTGGGGTTGTTCCTTTACCTACGCACTGCCCTCTAGAGTCTAAACAGTGCTGTATGTTTATATTGGTCTTGCAGATGAAAGATAAGAATCAATTTCCACATCTTCACACTCGAGACGATATGATAAGTCAGCCAAGAGGAGACAACACAGCCCCACGATATCAGAGAACAACCTTGGCATTTACAAATCTGTGAAATCTTAAACTTTGCGCTGTCAGATAGTTGGAATCTATAAAAAGTGGAATTGAAGTACTTCGATTCGTCTTCACGAGGCCATAGTATTTCTTTTAAAACTTAGTTAGCAGATGATATTCTAGGAAAAAGGGCAACCTTATCATTGTAGAAAACTTTGAAGCAGCACACAGTCATCAAAATTGTTTACTAGTGAAGTACTATACCATAACTAAATTTAGGATGTAACGACAGTGTGGCGAAAGAAAACATCATTGAGATTTTGTCTTAAGTATTGGAAGAGTAGCTCGATATGTTTACCGTCTCCTAGGACGACAAATCTTTCAATCGGCATTACATGGGAATGCGGCGTAGATTTCCAATGTCGTCGGCATTCCTTTTTAGACTTCCCAAAACACAAACTATTTCAGATTTTTATTCTGTTAAGCTAAGGATTGTCGGGATATGTAAAAAGGCTTAAAGTGCACTTCCACTCTTCAGTTCATTAAAGCTTTTGTTTCGCTTCCTTCTCTTCGGTTGAAGTCTTTGTTGTGGTTTTCTACATGTCCCCAATTTTTATTCTTATACAAACATTTATCCATACACGTAAATATAACAAAACAAATGGCTTCGCCACATTATTAGTTGTTCGCCCAATGACATTATAACTTTTTCATGGCTAGTTTGTTTAGTTATTTTTGTTTTCGCTTTATTCATATTCTTTCAGCGTGTTGTGTTTGTTATTTCGAAAACTCTATTTTTATCCTTCAGTTTCCATACCTGTAAGTTAATGGTAAATAAAATCGCTCATGGAAGAGAGTTTTATTCCGTGATTAGCCTTACACTTCATTGCATGTTATTTTTAGGTCCCCTATAAACTCACAGAGTTTTTATTCTTGGATTTCCCGCTCAAGACATTTTCTCTTCCTGTGAGTTTTTAAAAGTTTGTGATATCCTAAAAAATTCACAGGAGACCACAGGAGACGTTAAGTCTGGCTGGAATGGTAAAACAAAAATATATGACGCAAATGGGTTGTCCGTCTTGAACTTCTGCTTTCTTAACTCATGCAACTTTTGTTATCCATTTTTAGAATATTGGACGTATGCCAACGGTTGACTTAGCCAGATTGAAAAAGTTGAGGGGTAGAATTTTGATAATAGTAATAATAGCACAATCCTTAACCCTAACTCTAGCCGGCTTCACAATAATCGAAAAATAATAAATAACACTTAGAATAGCCCAGGATATAAATGTGTCGTTCGACGTCCGTTTTAATCATGATCTGGGCTGATAAAAGTAGAAATTCAATTTAGAAAACCACATCATGTTCATCGAATCGTCAAGGTCTCTCTAAGGGATAAAGACGGAAAGACCGACAATGGATACAACGAACTTCCGCTTTGAACCTGGGCATTGAACGTTTCATAACAAAATTATTTAAAGAGCACAGGCTGCGGCGCTGTTTGCTTTAAAACATTTCGCTTTTACGCCAGCCAGTTATATCAGCCCGTAATGCGGCCTGGAAGCCCAAAGATAAGTGGTCACTGTCGTTAAAAAATCCATTTATGACGCAGTTTAAATTTGCAAAGAGTAAGATGCGTATTGTGGTGTGCTATGCTCTCTGGTTTTTTCTTGTTAGAAACAGAAATAAAGTGGAGCTATATGCTAACTATGGAGCTAAATGACAATTGCGTCAACGTCATCTCAACCGTATAACGACCGGAAATGTTGACAAACAAAACTCGAAATGTTATTGTTTGTAAAGTTATTTTCGTATTTTCCGCGTGAAAAACAGAAATAAAGTGGAGTTTACACCAACTATGGAGCGTAAAGATAATTGCATTAACGCCATCTCAACCATAAACGACCGGAAATGATCACAAACAGAAACTGAATATTATTGTTTGTAAGATTGTTTTCGTGAAGAAGGACGTATTAAACAGTTGTTACTTCTCTGCTTCGTGCATAATGTCAGGTATGCAATTTAATACTGCATATATAGTACCATAACTGACCGATGGTTTTAGTATTGACCGATATTTTCCATTGACTCGAGACTGAAGTTTGTTATGTCTATTAGGATAGGATATTTTCCCGCAATCTCATTGTGTTTCCTTCCGTAGGAAAACTAGATGAATTTAAGCATAGGGTTTGAATGTTAGATATTTTCTACTTTTAGGTAAAGATTTTCGTGTTGGTCGTTTATTTACTTCCATTTTCATTTGTTTATTCAAGTTTCATTAAGCGTGTTACAGGTAACTACTCATCACGCAAGCTAGTTGAATATAATCAAGGATCACCGTTAGCGGTTGATAATCAGGACACATTATATAAACAGAACCAGCTCATTTAAGCAACCGTTTGCATCACTAGCACTTGAAAAATGAAAGAAGAGGAAAAGGTAGGATTTTTTTTCAGTTTCTCCACCGTATTGAAGCGTTTTTCAGTTCAATTCAGGAACTTAACTCTAAATTTTGACTTCCACTGCCATGAGGTTTGTGTCGCTCAACTGCGATAAATCATATGGTTCCTCTACACAAATCTATGAAAGGCGTAGATTGGGTAAAGTACTTTGCTGAAAATTCCCTCATTACCTTTTGTAGTACTTAAAGGCGATTTCAAGACCAGGCATTCGAAATCGTATCGCGTGTGCATATTATCTCTAAATTGCATCGACAATCATCGTACAATGACCATCGTACTGTACATCGCTTAGTCTATTTAGAGTCGTAGATTTTTCATTCCTACGAATATTCTTTAAAACTGTGAGTTATCGCTCCTGTGAAAAGTAAAAAAGTGTTTTGATAAAATAAGTAGTAAAAATTTAAGGGTTGAGCGTGCTAAGGATAATGACCGACTGGCAATTAAACCGGAACTTGTGGGCATTTACTGAAGCGTGACGCACGTGGACCATTGTTAACTGCTGGTTTATTATCTTCTCGGTTAGCTCTGAAATAAAAGACTTTTTTTAGCACTTTCTCGTGGAGATGTCTCAAGGTCATATTTTCAGCTAACAATATCTGTCATATTTTCCTTTCGTGTCAAACCGAAAGGAACTTGCTATTATTCCTCACACATGTCTATTAAGGAAATATTTCAAGGCGATGTTTTAAAACGGATTTCCGACTGATGAGATTCATCATTTAAGTAAGAGAGAAAATTAAAACTCCGTGATGGGGGTATAACTTGTTTTGTCTCAAACGGAATTTTGAGAGCGTGAAACAGGTTGTTTTGCTGAAAAATAAACAACAATGAGTGAGGTTGATATTAGAGCACAAATACATATTAGGTGGGTTCACACTAGACCCTCAAGTGCACTTCAAGTGCACTTCAAGAGGACTTGAGTCCAACTGCGCTTAGAACGTACTTGAAGTGCACTTCAGTTCTTTCTGTCGAAACAACGTTCACACGTTCACATGCAGTTTTCGCGGAAAAATTGTCTAAGTTGTGGAATCATATTTCGCGGAAAATTGCTGCAGTTCTTGGTTTTAAAGCCAGACTGATCACTATGCGACCACGGAGGTTGAAGATTATTTTGACATTAATGTTTATCTTGTTCAACTTGTTGGTAAGACGAGCTAGTTTTATTCATGTAAGCATTCTCCACGTAATTTCTCCGCTACAAGAAACTTTACTTTTTCGTTGTCGAAGAGGGCTGTAACTCAACATGATGGTCCTGTAGTGCCGGTGAACTTGACAAACTCCTGCTTTGAATAGGCTCAAAGGAGTAAACAGAAGGAGTAAATTGCATTTCGTTTCTAATACCGAATGCACTAAGCTACGTTGCGTCTGTAAATAAAATTAAAAAGGAAAATAATTTCATTGCTTTGCCCTTCACGGGTACTGAAAGATTCCAATGATCCAAGAAAAGCCCTCGCGTATTTGGTAAAGGATGAAAAAGGCAGAACCTACATTAAACTGATGTCCAGGAGATCATCCGGATTTACCATTTGATTTACCATTTGATTTACCATTTGCCTGAAAAACGCCATGATACTGCCGCAAAGCGAGCCACCTTTATATTAAAGTGGTCAGTTTTCAGCTTTTCGCAATAATCGCGCGCGTTTCGGGAAACATTCCCATCTACGAATGATTGACAAGTCATTAATTAGCTTTAAACCCGTTGATTGGACAAGTGCACTCTCAAGAAAGGTGTCGACCACACTTGAGAGTGGACTTCGGGGCTTTGATCTTTTCTGGTTTCCTAGACGACTAAGTACGATCAGTCAAGTGAAACGGTTTGAAGCAGAACCCGTTCACACACAAGTTCGTCTCAAGTGCACTTAAAATGCCCCTCAAGTGCACTTGAAATGTCTAGTATGAACCCACCTATTGATTAGCATGTGACGGAAGTTTCCGTGATACTCTTCCCTCTGTGGAAATCTTCAAACGAGTGTGTAAATTTCGCAAATTCGCCATTGTCTAACATCACTTAGAAAACTAATATCTTTCTTTTGACTATGATCTCTTTTTTTATTTTTATATCTTAAAAAGAGCCCCCTTAAACTAAATTTATTGGATCCAAGAATCTATGTCAATTTGTCAATTTAGAACTGATGTCATGGCTTATTTTCAAATCCAGCAATACATTGCTTTTAAAATTTGCCAACATTAACGACCCGTAATACTCTTTAAGACTAAAATATTAATGTCTTCCTTGTTCGGTCATTTTAAAATTTACTTGGGTTGCCTAATATGTTTGAGTTTATTTTCGCATGTCCAGCAAATCTAACACACGTTTCAATGGTCAATCTGACTCCATTGATCATATAAAAAGGTTTCACAAATACTAAAAGCATAAGTTCAACCACCAAGGTTGAACTTATGCGCAGTGGACCTGAAATAAATGCGACTCCAAAATAAACCGAGACACTAAAATGTTTGATGTGGCCGGTGTAAAAAGATGTCTGCTGCCACACCGTAAAGACAAACTCTCGAACTCGATAAGAAGACTCAATCTTATCAGTTCAAACGGAGATCCCTTCCAACTACTTACAAATGCGGGGTTTCTGAAGGTGTATATCAACTTCCTCTTGACGGTGTGATAGAGGATATGGAGAAATTTTCTAATTTCTCATGAGAACGATTTCGTGTCATAAATACAATTAACAATGTGCAAAATTCATTACCTTGGGGCTTTTCACAAGAAATATTAAACTGATACCAGACAGCTCATATCCTATCCACTACTTATTGCATCAATGATGAATCTGAAATGCAATGGGGGTTTCTCATTATAAGTTATAAGTTAAAGACTCCCTTAGTTTTATCTCTGTTGCAAAGAAGCAAGATACAGAAAATAAAGTACGGGCACCCTAACTTGTACACTACTTTTAAATTGTTGTCAGCCGCAATCGGTAGAACTTCCGTGCTTGTCTTTGAACTAATTCATACAATACAGAATGAATTGTATCTCACAATTATAGTTTGCAGCCATCAGGATTTGACCAAAATCAGCTGTAAAATGCTAGTGGTTATCTGTGTAGTTTTCTTCTTTCTTGATCAACAAATTGGGGCCGTGGGAAGCAGATGTTCATCAGCTGAAGATGCGACCAAACGTAAGTTCCTCTAGTCTGAAATACCCGTGAATTATTTTAACAACCCTAGGCTAAATCTCAAGTATCTTTAAATTCTCCCAGTTTTGATCTAGTGTAGCTACTGCTGTTATGATACGCCACCAGGCACCTTGGAAGAAACATGATTATCAGAAAAAATTTCAAAAACCTTAATGCTGCATGCATGCTTAGTTCAGCTTTTTGCCTACCTAAAACGGTAATAGAGAGAAATCAAAGAAATCTTAGTTCAAGCTATCATATTCCTGGCTATATGGCTGGAAATTTCTAAGGACTAAAAGAGCAACCACTGTCTTTAACCACAGAATTTTATTGCGTTTACTGTCCATCTGGTCGAAAGGCCAATCCCCCATCTGCAGACCATTACAGTGTTATTCTAGTTTCTTTTATTCACGATAAATTTATAATGCATGGAGTCCTAACATTCTTGTTTAACACGCTTTTATTTTAGCATTTTCAACAGTGCCAGTTGTGGAAATGAACAACTTGGAATTCCCGAATGAGCACGTTCTTCCAACTGGCTACAATATAACAGTCGTTTGTACAAGCAATAAACCAGCTCATCGGAATGGGAGATACTTCAAACCCTACTGGATACAGTATTTTTTCAATAATGACTACAAGAGACACTTGAGTTGTGGTGGTGGCTATCTGGATTCACATTACGAAAATTCAAAAGTGTGCAATTACTTTATTCAAAATGCCACCGAGAAGAACTCTGGCAATTACACCTGCATCGCAACCAATGAATATGGCTGCACAACAGAAACGATGGCGTTGAAGTTTAAAAGTAACATTTTCTATTAATGTCACTATATAGCTATACAGTATAACAAATGAAGTAGCTCACATTTAGTTTCGTATCTTGAAGAATTTTTCGTGGGTTACATTTATTTATTAATTACTAAGTCACTAAAAAGCTTTGTGGTTACAAAACCACGAAGATGCATTAATTTGAATTAACGGGTAAATGGAAAATAAGAGAAATTAAAAAATGTGCAGTTACTTTATTCAAAATGCCACCGAGAAGAACTCTAGCAGTTATGTCTGCATCGCAACCAATCAATATGGCTGCACAATAGAAACGATGGCGTTGACGTTTAAAAGTAACATTTCTTATTATTACTTTGTAGTTATGCAGCATAATAAATGAGGTGGCCCACATTTAGTTCGGTATCTGTATTACATTTCATTTGATACAACACTTATCTTGAAGAATTTTATGTGGATTACATTTATTTATCATATGAATTACTAAGTCGCCAAAATAACTGTGGTTACAAAACCACGAGGATGCATCAATTTGAATTGACAGTTGAATTAAAAATCACTGATAACAATATCATATCACAGTGGTCATGAGGGGAAGTGTGTAATTCGACGTTTGTTTTCTTTAATTTTAAGTTTTTTAATTGCTTTTCCTTCTTTAATCACAGAGCCATCGCCCCCGCTTTTTAGTCATCACCAGCCTGGTAAAGTCAACTTTCTAAAATCGAGTAGGGCCAAACTCAGCTGTAATGCATCAGGTGTTCCCGGCCCCTTCATCGCTTGGTTCAAAGACGGTGATCGCCTTGCAAGTTCTTCCGTAAAAGGGTCTCAAAGTTATTCAATATTGAATTTTGAGTCTGTCCAACCTTATAACCAAGGACAGTATTGGTGCGAGGCAAACAGCACTGAGGGACGAAGCACATCAGCCACTGTGAACCTAACAGGTACTGAAACGTTTCACATAGCATAATAGTCACAATAACGTCCAAACTATTCATCACAACGATTTTGTATCCGTTGATGTTGCTTTTAGTTGTGTGGAAACCAGAGTTCTCCATTCATCCCCAAGACAACACTAAGTATTTTGACGACGATGCCACCAACGTGTTCATTAGTTTCTCGTGTGCAGCAAATGGCTCCCCTCTTCCTGTGATCAGCTGGTTAGAAAACAACTCCAAAGTAGATGATGATAAAGCGATTCAAAAGGATAACATCTCCATCCTCACTTTGGTATTTAATGAGGGAACAGAAAAGCACTGCAAATATCGCTGCGTCGCTAAAAACTCGTTGGGAAACACGTCTTCTCAAGAAGCCACTCTGATGATCACAAAAAGACGTAAAAATCATTCGACAATAGAGGGTAAGCTGACAGCTCAGATTATAATTAATATATTAGACTATGGCGGGCAGCAATCTGAAGAGATCATACTTCCTCTTTTAGTTACAAAATATAATCTCCAAAATACCTCTTAAACGTAGGTTGGAATCCGTGCAAGAATTATTTTTTTTCTCTTTTGCGAAAGTCATGATGCGAGTTAAGCGACATAAGGCAAACTCAATTCGAAAGGCTAGAGTTTGGATCTTATCTATTTGTCAGAGACCTATCACACATCCCTGGTTTGGGGTTTTTATCCATGAGCTACTTCAGCGACCCTTAGAGTATTTTTTTCCTAGCGAAAACTCACCTCCTTCTTAGTAACAGAGTGCTCTACTGGTGCGTTTTCTTAAACATACAGGAGCATATTTTATACAGTTGGATAGTTTTCGTTAAATCTCGCAATTTCAACTGCAGATAACACAGAACTTAATGATAATGGGTCTGCAATCATTTGGTCCACCGTGATAACTGGGGGTTCAGTTCTTATCATGATCATCATAGTTCTTCTTGTCATCAAGTGGAGAATGGACATTAGATCAAATTACCAACTAGACCAGGAGGTAGGTGCTCAATTCGCCAAATCATTGCCTTTGGTTATTTTTTCAATAATCATCCTGACATTGTTCTAGTTTCTCCTCGCAAACAAAGACCTGCGATTGTTCCCACCATTGATACGCGCCAAAATTCATTTTTTGCTTTAAAAAATGCAACTGAGTTGAACAATCTGGACTTGATTGGTTTTACGAGGCTCAAAAGAGATGCACTCAGCCAAAAAAACTCATCAGAGGTGCAATATAATCTGTCTTTTGTCAAATCAGGCTTTTAAAAGGACCGAAGAGGCTTTTGAGATAAAAATCACGAACACAAAGGATACGATAAATCAGCTACGAAACAGCCTGTCTACATTAACCGATGATGGTCAACTCCCGGATCCATCTGCTACTGGAGAAAACGGTGTCGTTGAAAGCGAAATTTATTTGCAATTAATGGCAGTTGACAGAAACTGGGAGATCCCCAGGGATAGACTCACTATCTCAGAGGAGAAACTTGGCAGAGGAGAGTTTGGAGAGGTTAAGAAAGGAATTTACCTAAGAACTGATGGAAATGAACTTTCAGTAGCGGTGAAAACTCTGAAAGGTTGGTAAATCATTCCACGTAATTGAGATTTTAATGATCAAGGATACATCCTTCAGAGGGTGTTGACAGAAGTTAAATCTCACCTCCACAACTCCCTCTAAAGTAATTTACAGTGGTGTACAGGTCGCATAAAGAACAGCAGCAGACATGTTCACAATCAACTGCGAATTGAAGTGATGAGGCTAATGATGACAAAGAACAGGACATCAAACTGCAAAGAAAATGACAGAAACCCAAAAACTTGGGGAAATTTTCAAGATCAGTATTTTGCAGCGTGCCAACTTAAACTATAATTACTAACTTTTCAAACCCAGAGTCATAAGAACGTCATACATACCTTTTGATTGTGAAAGTCCTAAGGCAGTTTGTAGCCACTATATCATGTAATACCTTTTGTACCACGAATTCTTTGACAGATAACAAAGACAGACAGCAGCGAATGGCGCTTATCAAAGAACTGGAGACACTTATCCAAGTTGGTCGCCATCCGAATATTGTCAGTTTGGTTGGAGCTTGCACTTTTGAAGGTAAGGGATGGGCGATTTAAAAAGTTACAAGGAACGTTGGAGGGCAACTTATGTCAACGAAAATTTGTGTGGGGGAGATCGATAAATAAGCTACTAGATAAAAGAATTGTACTATGGGTACAGAGCCACCTTATTATATCGATGACTTACGGAAGCCACTTTATGCCATGATTGACAATGTACAAAAACTCGCCCTAAAACACTACTTACCTTGATATCGGGAGAGAAATATGCACAGACTTCCGCTTTAAGCACCGGTCAATACAGGTGGAAGAAAAAACAAACACGTCGTTGGAAGGTGACCGCGACCGCTCAATAGACAAGTGAAAATTATTTTGAATGAAGGGAAAAAAACTCGGGACTATGACAACCGACAGCTTTTAGGTTGGACAGTATTACGAGAGGCTGTGGTGTCTCCGTGGTAAGCGTGTCTGTACAAAAACAAATTGAGGTAAGGATTTATTGATTGATTTGTGTTGAGTAACGTTATCATTATGGGCATTTAGAAAATATTCAATGAAGCCTTACATCAAGAGTGAGCGGTGCAATGTGGTGTTTAAAAGCACTGTAAGTTTTCTCAGCAAAATATGATTTGACGTTTCTTTTTTTACTTCAAGAGCCACTTTGCGTCGTCATTGAATTTGTCTCTGGCGGAAGTCTTGATAAGTTACTTCAAGGCAGTCGCGTCCAAAACCAACAAGTTGATCCATATGTAAACATATGGTCGAGGCTGACTGAGAGAGAATTATTGAGGATTGCTTCAGACGTCTCAAGTGGCATGAGACACTTGGAAAGTAAACAGGTTTGTTCATGCATTCGTAAGTGAGGCGCATTTTGTTTTTTGAAATACTTTTGGTAATACTTTCGTTATCATTAAGTATCTGAATAGCTTCGAATTGCTATAGTGCGAATGGAAAAGTCAAAAGAAAATGTCAAAATAGAAAAAAACATTGAAAATAAAGCAATGATAAACAAACTATAAATCCAACATATTAAAACACAGAAAATTATGTAGAGCTACTAATGGAGCAAATGTAACAATAGAAACACAATTGATAAGAATTGAGGTCACCCAATGGCTAGTACTAATTATAAATATAATGACACTTTCATAAGTGCGCATGACTAGGAAACAATACTAAATTTCCTTAATCTGTGGTTCAGTGCATTCATCGCGACTTGGCATGCAGGAATGTTCTTGTTGGAAAAGGACTGATAGCGAAGGTGGCTGATTTTGGAATGGCACGTGACGTATCTGCAGATGGGCAGTACATCAAGACAACAGAGGTACATATTTCACTTATCAATTTACTTTGCCTCTCAATCATTCTTCCTTACCACAACAGACGTACAGAGCTACATTTGAATGTATATCTAAAAATGTTGAGCTCACTTTGGGTGGAAAGCCGGTTTGCTTGTATAGCACACACTCTTCTTCAAAATAACTATTGATTCTCTGCAAACCACCTATTAACAGCGACCATAACATAAACGACGAACCTCACATAAAGACTTCACTACACCGATAAATCCTTTCTGAATAGTCAAAACAGTCTTCGGAATCGGGATTCGGTTCACACGAATTAGACTTGCAGCAATAAGATAACAATGAACTTTGTATTTAACAAATGGTAAACACCACAGCGTACACTATTGAGTTATGGATGCACGCGGGAGGTTGCTAAGCACGAAAGAAGAGTAAGAGTCGCTTGAGGCGAACTATTAGAATCGTGACTTTGCGCGTATCTAATAGTTCTAGAATTCGTCTGCCAGGAAATAGTCTTCATTCTTGGTGCCACGTTCCTCTCAACGCCCTAGTTTTTTCACGTAGCATAGGCAATAAAAAACGAAGCGCAACTTCTTTTAGTCAGAGATTGTTAGCGAAGTTACACCGCTACTGAGCTACGATCAGAGGATCCATGTTGCTGCCTTTTTTAGTGTATTTCGCTGTCTCTCTCTCACCTTTTCGAGCGAGTCGTCAACCAAAGTGCGTAAGTTTTTATTTGCTAAGTTGCGATTGTTTGTCTTTTCGCTATCATGAAGGGTTTCATTCAGTATCTAGGTTTATTGCCGTGAAATCGCGTTCACGGCTGCTCAGGCTTATTGTCAAGTTACTTTCTAAGTCTTACTTTCTAAGTCTAAATGTCATATGATTGCCAAGTTGTGATTCTTTTACGCTGTATTTAGTTGTTTACAAGATAGTCGTCAATGTCTTCGGTCGTTACGACAACAGTTGTTATCGCCTCAGTTTACTAGTACAAGTATCAATTGTCACGTCTGTCACACGCTATGGTCTCGTTAATTTATTATAAGTGTTCTATTCTGTTAGATTTGTATTTTATACCTTATCTAAGGGAACGTATTCTCAACTATCGCTTTTCAGGTCGAACCTACTTATATCATCGCTACATCTACTTATGCGACTACTACATCTACTTGTACCACACGCGATCCACTGGTTTTCGCGATTTCGTCAGTCGCCACGTATTGTGAACTAGATCCATGGGCTTGATCTGTCATTAAATCAGTTTGAATCTATCAAGTGGAGTTCGAATATCTCGCACCGCGCCACCCCTGTAGTTGTTTAAGATTTGAGTAAGAAGCAACTTCGAGAATCTTTACAATTACACTAACTTCCTAAACTTTCTCCTAGGGACGTGTTCCATGGCTATGGATGTCAATGGAAGCATTGAGGGGAACTTGTACAATAAAAGGAGACGTGTAAGTTATCGGTATTCTCAGAGTGAAATTTGACTTTAAAGTACCTCAAAATACTTCATAATTTCTAAGGCTTATCATTATACTTTACTTCTTCATAGGTGGTCATTTGGAGTAACCCTGTGGGAGATAGTTACTCTCGGTAGGTAAAACCTTACTTGCATTGATAGAATTATATTTGAAATGAAGTAAGTAAGTGTACAGGATGAAAAAAAACAGACACTACCAGCTTTCCCCCAAACCCAGTCCTCACAGACGTTTATACTGCCACCAGGCCTTCATTATCAACGCTGTAGGACGCGCGTTTCTCCCACCGCGGGAAGATTTGAGACGAGTCAAGACCCCCCCCCGCAGACCTCTCGCGGGCTGGCGTTCCTCAAGGCCTTTTGCTTTTCCGCGGGCGAGAAAACGCTCGTTCCAAAACACTAATGATGAGGGCTGGCTTACAGACTAAAATAGGTCAGGAATTGACACCCTAGTTTAAAACCATCCATCAATGATGTGAGTGCATGCCAAAAAACGTTTTGGAAAAAAAACCGAAATAGAATTATTAAGATGCTCTCCTAACAATTCATAGCATTCCTCATAAGGATTTTATTATCTAATGAGATGCTGGGGTATTACCATCAAAATTTTATCATGATGCATGTGATTGTTTTGTTCTCAGGAGAACTACCGTACAAGGACATTAAGGGAATTTTAGAGCTTCACGAATTGCTGGAGGAAGGAGCAAGATTACCAAAACCACCGCATTGTTCCGATGAGCTGTGAGTCAGATGCTTTTAGCCTCGAAGTTTGTTTGTCAGATTATATCAGTTTTTTCCTTCATTCTGCGTCTTGTCCTGATGTAATTGTGTAGTTGATCGCTATATGCTTTAATTTCAAGGGTTTTCTTTTCACCAATCACCTTTTGTTTCCTTCAAGTGACCAATCCACTCGCAAGTTCTATTCTGCATTATTTCATTGTGTCTTTATCGCTCATTGTGGAGTAATTTCTCACCAAATGCTTGATTTTAGTATTTCGATGAAACCACAATATCAATAAGCGTACTTTACTGTAAACTTCGATTGCAACTGCCGGATCAGTATGAAAGCAACGTTTATTTTCGGGGGTCTAAGTTTGGCACGACATTAATTATAACCCACTATTTGAGTCAAGCTTCATGTCATTAGGTCAATAAGTGTTTTATACCTTACTTTTTAGTTATAACATCATGTTAGGCTGTTGGCAGAGGAACCCTGACGAGCGTCCATCATTTGATCAACTTTGTGAGATGCTAGAGGAGCTTTTACAGCAAGAAACTGTGAGTGGGCCCGAAAAGCTCAATGGTCCATCTAACAGTTGCGGGCTCGGATACCAAACCTTAGATCAGGAGTGAGGCTAAGGGTGACCTTGTTATGATATAGAAGTTACTGCGTTTTAAAAGTAAATTACTTTGTTACTATTCTGTCTAGATACTGGTCTCTGTCACAACAAGGTCACCTTTAGCCTCACTCCAAATCAAAGGCTTGGCAACTAAGTACACTACTGTAAAATGGCCCAATGAGGTTCGTCTTCCTTTTCCTGTTTTTGTGAATTTCGTCCCGATTTTGTTTTCATTTCCTATCAGATAGATGGGCACATACAATATACTGCTGTGTGCACTTTGGCTTTGAAACCAACGATATTTATTTTTTCTGAGGTTTCTCCAAGGAACAGAGAAAACTTACATGGTAGAATCCACTTCCCATTTTCGTCAACAATTAATCTACAGACTATGTTAAATCATTGAATTTGGAGCATTTAGAGTTTCCTTTAATACCAAGGGAAAGGCGTTATTCTATTATTCAAGGCCTTGTTTATCGAGGACATGGAAAAAACAGGTTAATTCGATCGATGGGAAGAATTTTTAAATCGTAACTATATATTTCACAAAGCGAGTGTTCTCTATATGCGTTACTTTTCCAGAGAACATACATCAATGTTACTTACTTCGAGGAACAAAACAAGGAGGAAACAGACGTTCGACACAAATGAAGGTTCTTGCCATGAAAGAGCGAAATTGAAGATCGAAGAGTTTGTCACTTAGAAAACGTAAAGATACTTCAATGCCACTTAAGACGCCAGTCAGATGGAGGTCCTGTTTTTCGTTTCTCATCCATCGTTTGCTTTGCCAACGCCGGGGGAGAAATAACAAGTTCATTACTTCAGGAATAGAAGGGGAAAGGGGGATGTGGAATACTGCAATTTGGATGTTCGAGTAAACGTGTTTATGAACACTTTTTCTTATGATTGTTTTGTTAGCTCAAATCTGGCGAGCTTTCATTCTAAGTTAGTTATACCTATTCATGTAAATTGAAATTTTTCTCGAAACATAGCCTTCTATAAAGGTATTTTGCTGGCAGGCGTAAGAAGATGTGAGTAAAAGAAATTCAAGATAGTCAACCAGCAACCACAATTTAACGTAGCCTAGAGGCTAATTACATCTGGTATTTACTTTAAAGTATCGTCCCCCGGCTATGATAAATTCATAATGATAACGGTGTATCCTTGTTTTAACTTTAGTAGCTGACTTTGCCTGTTATCAGACAAAAGAATTTAACAAAGTTGAAATTAAATTCAACGTTTTAACACCTTTTTTCTTGAAAACACATTTTCATGGGACCTTCAAAGACGTGATCACAGTTCATCGTTGCATGAAAAATCGCAGATGTTCATAAGTAATGTAAAACAATGACCTCTTTTTACTTAAATTGAAACTTGACAAGCTGTAATGAGATCCACAATAAAACTGAATGGAAAATTAATGACTGTCTGGGTTTCTAGAGATTAGTTAATTCAAATCACTTTCCACCTTTGCCTTTCTTTGAGGATTTATTTAATTTGCCTCTCACAAGTATTCTGAACTGGTAATGTCTCCGAACGATTTGTATAGTTTCAGCAGCTTGACTCTGTTTTCTTTCCTCTTCTATCTCTCTCGCTTTCTCCTCTTCAGCGACACGTCGCTCCTCGATAATGGCGCCGTGTTGTTCCTCTAAGATTGAGAAACGCTCTTGAAGTTGCCCGAGTTGATTCTTGTAAAGGTCGAATTCGTCCTGGAAGTCATAATCTTAAGGTTACAGGAGTTAGGGTTCGGGTTATAACTCAGTCATTTTTTCCGGATCCCTGCTCCCTCCCGTCGGCTTAGGTGAACATTCAGTAACCTATTGGCAGGTTTCTTCGGCCAAAAATTGTCAACGGTCTGGCCGTTTTGACATGCTAATGTGTATAATGAGGATTGCTTGGATAGGTATGTGATAGGCCAATGTGTAAATATTCAGTTTAGCTCATTGACCTCTTATGCCTTACAAGTACGCGTTTGCTCCGCCGACACGTCAAGGGTGAGAACTTAACCCATAAAGGCAAAATGCCTTTACACCTACAGTACGAATTCTACTGTGTTCAAGTATTACATAAACTTAGTAAACCGGGAGATTAATAAACCTTACAGAGGAAGGTATTATATATATCTTATTAACCAAGCGCGAAGGCCGTACTGGGAGAATATCCGCCGGAGGTCTTGACAGTACGGACCGAGCGCAGAGAGGTCCGTACAAAAAAGACCGAGGGCTGATATTCTTCCAGTTCGGTCCCGAGCAAGCTTGGTTAATAAGAGATTTATTATACGTCTGAAGTTCAAAGGGACACAAGTGCGATATCATTCGGGACCATTCGGGACAGTGCCCGGTCCAATACTTAGAGAATATTGAACCGGCAATAGAGCATTTCGATTGGTTGATTTTAGTTATTGTCCCTCTGACTGCCCGAGTCGTGTCATAAGAGTCCAGGATACAACATCTAAAGTTTGAACATCCCAAAAGGTGGTGGGACGAAGTGAAGCGTCTGAGTGAAGCAAAGACCAAGAATGGCGATTTATGTGGTCAAATTAATGCAGATCACGTTCCAGACCTTTCCCAAGAGGAGCAGGCTAATTCCATCAACTCGGCCTTCCTTTCACCTCCAGAGGAATATAAGTTGCCAGCTCCGCTTGAATGTCTCCCTTTAGAGGATATTCCAGAGATCTTATGTGTCTCGGGAGAACACGTTCAAAGGACGCAACTGAAAGTCAACCGCATTAAAGTTGCCGGACCGGACACAATCCCGGACTCAAGGACTCAAGGAGTACCCTGATATCCTGGCCTTTCCGGTCACGGAGATTCGAAATGCTTCTTATCGTCAACAGCGCCTCCCATCTCTTTGGAAAATGACTGATATCTCACCCGTCACGAAAAAGGTCCCTGGTGACTGATCGACGGTAAGAACCCCACTTTTCGACTATCGGAAGCATTCGATATAATAGAACATTCTATATTAGTCAACAGATTACGTAATCTAAGAGTGCCATAACGTATAATTAACTGGATCATTGATGTTTTGGTCTAATCGATCTCAAAGAATCAAGTTAGCAAAAAGTTGTTATTCCGAGTGGGGCCTAGTCTCCTCCGGGGTACCGGCAGGGTATACCAAATCGGGCCCATCGCTTTTTTACTGATGACAAATGATTTAGATGTAAACACGCCACATCTATAGAAATTTGCAGATGCCACTTTATCATCCGAAGCGTTCCGAAAGGGAATATCAGTAATGCACAGAGAATAGTCAATCAGGTTGTTGAGTGGTTGCATGTTAATAGAGTACAACTCAACCCTGATAACTGCAACGAGCTCCGAATCTCTTTTGCCCAAAATCTAGTTGAACTGGATGCGGTTGTTATCGACAGAAAAGAGGTAAAACTTGTTAGTACCGCCAATTTCCTGGGACCTACTATAAGCGCCAACCTAAATTGGAATGGGAACATTGAAAAAGTAGTTAAAGGGGTGCCGAATGGCCTTTGCAAGCAATTGCGAGCATGTGAGCAGTATGTCTATTTTTGCGAGCACGAGCAGCTGTCAAATTTTTCTTGCGAGCAGCGAGCACTTTAGAAAATACAAATGGCGAGCAGTGAGCACTCTGAAAGATTACAGATGGCGGGCAGCGAGCACTTCGAGTACTTCATAAATTTTCCGCTAGCTGGAATCTTTCGTTTACTAGTAGGATACGTTGTTTTGCGCCAAGTAATTGCTATTAATCTGGCTGACACCTCCATAAAAGAGCAATAAGTGCAAAGCTAGGGCGGTTCAACCAGTTCCAGTATCTTAAACCAATTGTGCCCTGCTTAATTACGTCAAGTGGCTTCACGTGAGTCAGTCGGGGTGGACGCTCAAGAACATCAAGAGTTCTTGAAGAGATGAACTAGATCCAAAGCCCACGATCTAAAGTTTTCCATCTCTTTCTAACCTGACGCTAAAATGGAAGGTATTTTTTTGGAGGTGTATATAGTTCTTAAGAAATGTAAATAACGTGATATTCGGTCTAACAAGCATTTCGGCCTTCGGTTTCGATGATCGGCAAACTGGTTTCCCGCAGATTGACTGCAAAAGATTCAACGCAATGAAGGTTCATTTGTTAGCTGTTATTTGGAGGCTTCTAGAATCTAACCAATTACGGAAGTACAGATCTGACAAGCTCTAGTGGTAGCTCTGAAGGTCAAATTATAGTTCTGGTAATAGTAGTATTTCTCTAGATTACTTTCTACCTTCGCGGGTGCCTTTCGAGAAGAATTCTTACATTTCGTGTTTCCGCGCGACAGGGAGACAGTTTCTAGACATGTATCCTCGTTTGGCTAGGCCTTTAGTTTTTGATCAAAATAATTAAAGCAACATTTTATTTAATAGTTTTCCAGAGCTGGTGAAGCCCAAACGACCGAGAGTTGTTATTAGTACTGTTTTAGTTTGATCGGGTTTCATATCCCACCATTTGGCGTCAGATTATAATGGTTAATCTACTAGTGGCCAGGAAGCTTCCAAGGTTGAAAAAACCGCTTCAAAATAAGATCCGAGTACACTGTTTTAAAATATTATGACTCCGTCCATTTTAGTTCCCATTGCCCACTGGAAATTCATAATTTCGACAAACCCAGATAATTTGCTCCAATAAATAAGAATTTAGATCAACAAAGGTTCGCAAGTAATTTTGTCTCCACAGGAGATTATATGTCACCTCCCGTCATGTCGAGCTTCCTTCTAACCATATCAGAATTTCCTGGTAAATAGATCGTGTTACAGTCACGTTTTCTTGTTCAAGCGAAAGAAAGTTTAAGTTATTAGGTAAAATACCCAGGAAACCGGTCAAAGAAACAATTGTAAGACTAGCTTCAAGCAATGAAAGCGAATCTACCGAGGGAAAAAGCAAAACCAGCTTACAACATCAGCAGAATAAATTAAAGGAGCTCTACAAACTGACCCTTCTTCTATGAATACGATTGACTATTGTAGTTATACACACAAATTAAGTAGTTGTGAAATTAAAGCCTGAAAAAATTTCATGCCTGACCGGAATCAGAACCTATGACCTGTGCGATATCGGTGCAGTACTCTACTAACTGAGCTATCAAGCCAACTGGGAGCTGGTCATGTTGTGAGCTCGTAATATACCCGTAGATGGTGAAGAAACAAGTGAATAGATGAAAGATCGCGTATTTGAACTGCGGAACGGTGCCCCTCTCAAGCATAAAGAAATCTGATGAAATATGATAAAAATTAAACCAATAAACGAAATGCTCAGTTGTCATGAAGCTTCGTGCGTTTTCTCGATAATACGTACAGCGTCTCCAAAACAGTTACAGGCTGAACTGTTGAAGAAAGACTGCAGCCATAGGAAAGAATGTTTCAACCTTTTTGTTTTAACCATACCATATGATTTATCGTTTTTACCTGTATTAAAAAAAATACAAAGCAGTATTAACGAAATTTCGAGCAATCGAGCACATGTTATTGAAAATGCGAGCAGTTGCGAAAATTTTGCGAGCACGAGCAAGCGAGCACCCATGTAATTTTTGCGAGCAATTGGAGCAAAAGCCAAATTTTGCGAGCACTTTTAAATTGAATGGGACCATTCGATACCCCTAGTTAGGAAAGCTAGTAAGCGATTGTATTTCCTAGCACAGCTCAAACGCGGGAAATTATCGCCAACAGATCTAATTCTTTTCTACAATACGTACGTGAGGTCTGTAGTTGCTTATGCTCGATTCATAGCCGCCTTGATCTTGATGTCCTTGTATGTTGCCTCCACCGATCATGATCCTCTACCCCCACACTTCCTGCTCTTATATAGTATAGCTGTTGATCCTTGAGGGTGATTTACCCCCCGTCTACAATGATCTTTCTTGCATCTCTGTCTACTTGCTGCGGCTGCGCCAGTAGCCACGTCTGCGTCCACATAAAATACGATAATACAGGTAGCGCACACTGGTTAATTGGAGTTACCTTAGCATGGTCTGAGAGTGGGCTGGACTAAATAATAGCTAATCTGCGCAAGTACTCCTTCGACGCGTTTTCAAGAACCAGCTTATCTTCTTGCTTAGAATTCTCTAGTACACCCAGCAACTTGTACGTACTTTCCTCTCCAAGGCTCTTGATCGACTTCAGCTCATCAATCTCCATGTTCACCGTTTGTTTTACGCACCCTCTCTTCACATGCACTACCGCAGACTTTTCCTCGTTCCATTTCAATCCAATGCAGTCCATCCCTCCCTTTACAGCTCTCATGGCTCTTTCTAAATTGCTCTCCGATGATGCATACATCTTAAAATCATCAATATATAACAGGTGTTTGACCTTACAGGAGATCGGTTTTGATAACTTGTAACTGCTTGTGGCTCTCAAATTCCAAGCACGGGAGTTGAGGCACAGGGTAAACAATGTTGGACAAAGAGAATCACCCTGTGGCA